ATTTGTAGTTTTACGAAAATCTTCATCGCTAAAAATTGGTAACAATTTTTGTGCTTTAAGTAATTCTTTCGGAATAAAATAACGTGGTCCAGTTTTATGAAACATTTTAAATTCTTCTTTTGAAGCAATGTAATATGTTTTAGTTTTGTCAAATTTTCCGAATTGATTGTTAAATAGTGGAACCAAAGGAATATCTTCGAGATCATCATATTTTTTATCCTCAAGGATATATCTCAGTAAGACAAAAAGATATTCTTCTCGAATATTTGATAAGAATTCATTATTTTTCAAAACGCTTCTAATAAATGGAGAATCAGCTTTTTGAGGATTAAGACTTTGTAATTCTTCTAAGTTTTTATCATCTAACAAAACTGTAGGACGTTCTTGATCATGAAGTAAGTTAATAATCGCCGGATGTACTTCAGTTGGAGGTGTTTTTTTAGTTAAAAAGACAGACTGCTTGAAATTAACGTATGTACCACCGTTAAGTGGTGACCAAAAGATTTTAGAATCTCCTTCGGCTGCGAGTTGAATTACCCTTACTCCGTATGTTGTAATTTCTGCATTTTTATTTGCGGGAATTGGCCATAATCGGAGAATACCTTGAAAATCAGAGTTTTTTTGCAACCTAGCTCTATAAGTTGCTTCTAATTTTAAATATTCTTCAAAAAGTTTTACATGAAGTTTAGGAAGAATTTTGTCCAAGATATTCTTATTTTGAGTTGTTTTTGCATCATTCTTAATACATGTTTGATTATCACCGTCAAACACAATACTTCTCCGATCAGATGAAAGTGCCCAACCACTTGCATGCAAATTTACTGATAATCCTGAGGGAATAGAAAGTGAAAGGTACGAATAAAATTTTCCATTTTGTATAGTTTCGCTTAATGTCATTGGAATTTCGGGCCTCTCAGGAACCAATATAGCTACTCCACCCCATGTGCCTAGTCTATTTAGTGAAAAATCATTTTTTCCTGAACTTATGAGCCATGTTCTCGGTTTCCTTTCTGTAAAACTGAACAATCTCGTTTTATCAGAAAATTGAACATCAAGCTTAAATACTTGCGACTCTTTTCCATATAATTTACGAATTTCACTATTATTTGTGATTTCAACTTTCCATAAGAGCGTTGGATTACTTTCCTTGCTAGCTTTTCTAAATACTTCGAAAGATTTTACATTGCGTAGAAAAATCAATTCTGACATTGCTTCTTTCTTTATCATGTTTAATAATTTGAGAATATTGTCAATATTATCTACATTATCCGAAATAGAACTTTCTATTCCATTTTGTCTAAGCGGCAACCTAAACAAAGTTCCCTTGAATTCTGTATTATAATCAATTTCGAACCCGCAACCTTTAATTTTCTTAAAAGATTCAAACTGATCTTCAAATTTATTGAAGATGTGATTTTCGTTATAATCATCGAAATCAAATCTAGCACCACTACTATTTAAATATTTTTTTTGAG